TGGCATCTTGGTTTGAGTCACATTCCCACCACTGTAATGTAGCTTTACTGTGCCTTCTCTATAAATATTTCCATGGTAATTGCTCTGATGAATTTTCCTCTATATTACCTAGGCTCTATAAACTTAAGTGCAATACTAGATTGGCAACAAGCTCTCATCTTTTTACATTTGAAATGGCTGCTAAATGTAACTGTAAGTTCTATGCTAACAGTTTCTTTTTTCACACTTCTCACTTGTGGAATTTTGTTCTTATTGCTTTCCAGCCAACTTTGATCTTCAAAAATTAAATTGTAATGTCAATCATTATCTTCTGTCTTCTTAACTCCTGTTTTTTTATTATTATTATTGTTGTTGTTGTTCTTTCTCTTTAATAATGTTTTCCTTGTTCTCAGATACTTTCATACTCTGTAAACTAGAATCTTTACAATGGTTGACAAATTTGACATGAAGCTCACCATATTAGCTGCCAAGATCCTCAAAATATCCAGCAAATATTCTGTATAAAACCTAAGAATAGCAATAAATAATTTAAATAAAATAACCTTGCCTACTATTATTGGCTAAAATAGGGATGTAGTCTCATTATCCACTGTTAATTATAATTAGGTTAGATATAATTGCTTATTAAAGAGGTAATCGGCAAGATTTTCTTTGAATTCATTCTTCAGCATCATAATTATCAGCACTATACACGTGGTCATTAATTACATTCAGTCAACTGTTTTATTCAAATCGTTGTCTTCCACCAGGATTGTGGACCCGGGAAACAGTCAAGCTAAAAAATCTTTTCATATCTGCTCCATTTTCTCTTTTCAAAATGATGCTGAAAAAAGTTAACCATTCAGGTGTGTTTCTGGTTTTCTTGGATTAATTATTTTTATTAAATCTATGCAATTTTCTTTTTTCAGACTATTTATCTTCTTTTAACAGCATTTTAATGTTTAACCTCCCTCAAGTGTCTATCACACTAGATGTTCAATAAACATGAAACTTTTGCCTATTATGGTGCCAGATTGGCCTTTAATAAGTAATTATATTAAATCTGCATATGGAACATTTGGAAAGCTAATCAAATGCATCTTCAACACAAAGATCTGAACTTAACAACAAAAAATTATGGTCTATGGTCATTTCAATTTTTCTACATTGTTGCGAAACCTGGACTCTATATCACCATGATATCTAAAAATTAAAACACTTTCACCAGCAAAAGCTTCATTCAATCTTGAACATCAAATGGAATTACTATATGACCAACACCAAATTCCTAGAAAGAGCCAACAGTCAAAGCATTGAATCACTGATCATTAAACACCATCTTCAATAGTCAGGACTTGTACGAAGAATAGAAGAGTTAAGATTTGATGTCAAGTTTTATTCAGTAAACTTACTTCAAAGGAAAGACCATTGGGGTTGCCCTCTTCAAAGATACAAGTACCAACAAGTACCAGAAAACTGAAAGCCACTGGACTTGAGCCTAAATCATTTGAGACACATGCACAAGACAGTACTAACTGGTGATGCTCCATCACTATCAGAACCAAAAACTTTGAAGCCACCAGAAGAGAAAAAGAAGTCAAACAAAAAAAAAAAAATTGACCTCATCAGCCACCAACATTACTATGCAGTTAATGTGATTGGCTCTTCCATGCAACTTAGTCTACTTAGTCATCAATGCCATCATCATAAAGAAAATCAAAAAAGAAGAAATTAAATTCTTGGATTCAAGGTAAAGCCACCAACAATATTAAATCTATTTATATTTAACAGCAAAGTAGTAACAATAGTTTTATGGTGATCTGATTATTCAATGAGGCATAAGGTGTACTTATCAAAATATTGTGATTGCATCCCTATTTTAGCCAATAGTAGAGAAGGCCATCTTTTTAAAATTATTCTTAGGTTCTTTGTCCTCAGCACTTTACATGTGTTTATTAATGACATTTAGTCAACTGCTTTATACAAGTCATTGTCAACCTCCAAGGCCATGGGTCTGGTAAATGATATTCAAGTCAATTTTTAATACAAATACGACAAAATGAGAATATGTAAACTTACGAGAGTTGTGGATCTCCAATAATTTGTTCCATCACATTATTATAAGTAAATCCTAACAGGTTGTCAATCATATGGATCACTCCATTACCAACAGTAACATTGCCAAGGACAATCTGAGCTGTAGTATCTCCCGATGTGACAAAAACTGAAATAGAAATTATGTCATTTCTAAAGAAAACTTTAATATATTTTGTGGTGCACATATATATATATATATATATATATATATATATATATATATATATATATATATATATATGGAAGAGGATTATAGTTGTTCCAATGAATGAAAAGTGTATATTTTAAAAAGAAGAGAGAAACTGTAAACATTTTTGGTTATAATGTGGATTTTTTTTTAAATATATATTATGCTTTATTTTTCATATTTTTGCTACATGTGTTTCTGATCTCACAACCTTCATCAGGCAAAGTGTGGTTATTTCAACATATTATTAAAAGTAATTCATCTTCTTTTTTTTTCTAATGTTTAACCATTGTCTTTTGTGTGTAGTAATAAACTTTTTCTTGGATTTGTGGTGAAAATATTGTTCTGCTTAAGCAGTAATAAAACAATTAGGATTGGTCAGAGAAAGAGCAAAAGAAAGAGGTCTTTGCTCTTCTTTTTTTATGACCCCTGTATCTTTAGACCAATCTCCATTTTTGTGTATTGTGTGTGCATTTTGGTAGTACGTGTATTCATATTCCTTCTCCATACATATATACTGTCTTATTATAAGGAATTAGTGTATATATATATATATATATATATATATATATATATATATATACACACACACACACACACACACACTTCCTATGTTGTGTAGGGTTCATGTGTGTGATTGTGGGTAGTCTATTGTGTTTGTTTTTGCCAGTATGTGTGTATATATAGTATTTACATTATTCAGACTATTGTCCTCATCTTTGTTGCCATATTTATAACAACATTTTGACCCATGTACACTCCAGCCTTTTTGAGGTGGTTGGAAAATCAAACTAAATCCTGTATTTCACTCACTGGGATAGACTGTTCTAGTTCCATGTGCCATGTTGTTTTTAATAGATGTCAGTTATCAGTTATCTCCTGTTAATTCCCCTCTCCAAGTTTTCCACTGCCTTAACCAGGTATTGAACTCACAAATCTTTGGGTCCTGGCACTGAATCTAACCAACACCTTTATCTACTATGCCATGGGTCCTTAATGTTGTGATAAATATAGCAACAAAGATTAAGACAATAGTCCAAATAATGTAAATAGTGTACATAATACCTAATCTCAGAAATATAGGCAGATAGTATGTGTGTGTGTGTGTATATATATATATATATATATATATATATTCATTCTCCATAGATACATGTGTGTGTATACCAATCCTAATTGTTTTATTACCCCTCGAGCAGAAAAATACTTTTGCCACCAGTCAAAAAAAAAAACATTTAGGTTACTACTACAGATGAAAACAGTGGTTAAACACCAAAAACATAAGGAAAATTAATTCCTTTTAATAATATATGGAAATAACCACCCTTTGCCTGATGAAGGTTGCAAGGCTGAAAACACGTGTAGCAAAAATATGAAAAATAAAGTATAATACACATTTTTAAAAAATCCACATTATAACCAAAAACATTTGTGGTTTCTCTCTTCTTTTTATAATATATATATATATATATATATATATATATATATATATAGTGGAAAAACTTTTTGGGTATTTCAACTTAGTTGAACAAACCAATACCCAAGAAAAAATGAAGAATAAAAAAAAAAGAACTAAGAACATGAAATTGAGATGAAAACAATCGTTCAGAGTTCAAGCCCAGAAGTTTCAAAGCAAAAACCTCCAAAATGAGTAAAGTTTTACCCTGACGATCCATTTAAAGGTGAAACCTAGGTAGGTTTACCTGGCTTGTTAAGTTTTTATTATATAAGAGAGAGAGAGAGAGAATAGATATTCAATAAAAAGACAATAAAAATCAGCTACTATTTCACCAAGAAGCAGGACACAAAAAAATACTACAGGAAAACAACCAACAAACCACCTGCACAAATCAAACATGTAACTGCAGAACAAAGATCAAATGTCAAAGGACCCTGGAAACAAAGAAACTACATACACCAAACATCCTTTACAAATAGTAAATATGCAAGCAGCACAATGGTTTCTAAACATATCTAGCATATTAAAAACAAAAACCAAATCACACTAAAAATATCATGGAAAATAAGGAAAACAGCATCTGACTACAACAATAAAGAGCATTTGTAACTTTTATTAAATGAGGAAAATAATTACTCACCTTGTTCATAAGTATTTTTATTCAAAATTGGGATATTGCTGTTGGGAGTCCATTGGGTTCCAAACTCCACAGTTGACGTAAAAATCACTTGATTACTAATTCTGTGCTTAAGGATTATCTAGAGGTATTAAAAAATATGTAAGTATGAATTTAATAGATTCTTTCTTGAAACAAAAACAAAAAATGCAGTTTAATCCATATAAATTTTCACAGTGCTTAGATTAGTTTGGCAAAAACTTGATTAAATTAGGAAGATTGTGTTATACCAATCTTCCAAGTGGAGCAAGTCAGCCTTCTTTGAAAATCAGCTTTCAAGACATAAAGGAAAATAATCACCTACTGTTGAAAGCCTAGCATTATTACATTTTTAATTTTGCTACTTGCAGTTTTTGGAGATACTGTTAGAATAACTTAAGTTACTAATAACAAGAAAGAAAAAAACCTATTCAAATTTGAGTAACACAAACTTTCAAATATCAATCTCACAAAATTGACACAAAATCCTTTCAAGGATTCAAACATTAACACCAAGAAAGAATATAGACAAATATTATATATTATTCAACTATTAAAATCACCCATCTGTATATAGTGAACTTATCTAGTGACTTAGAAAAGTGTTAAACTTGCAAATTGCATGGATACACACCGAGTTTTATATATGTGGATTTGAAGTATTTCACAAGAATATAACTGGCAGTAGAATAAATTTTCAAATCAGGATTCAAAATAAAAAGCATGTGACAAACAAAGTACTATTTTTAGCCTCCTACTCACAAGACCCTTGATCTGAAACAAAGTTGCCAAATTGACATACTTTTGAAAGCCAAGTGCTACTAAATTTTGAATCTGACTGTAACAGAGTACTGACCCCGTTTACATGTTTAATGAAATGACATTGCAGGATGTTGATTTGGAGAGATGACTAATTGGATAATAATTATTAAAATAATTGGATAATAATTATTAAAATTCTCAGAAGAATAGATTGAATGGTTAAAGAAAAAGGAAAAAAACAAATGGGTTAAGAATTAGGTTTTAAACAATAAAAAGAATTTATGAACAATTCCAAGGAAAATCAAACCCAGAATTAACTAACCAAGACTCAATAAAATTGAGCAAAACCAAGGTTCTCCTCCCTATCTACTTACCACCAATAAAAAAAAAAAGACATGATTAATCTGTTGTCCAGATTTGTTGGTCTTGAGAAATTAAACTCTGTGTTTGGGTAACATTATTATACTGTCTAAAATATGTATATTCTTACAGAAAAGACTGATCCAAATTTTTCTAGGCAAAGAAGGCATCTGGATTTTGTTTAATTTCAAAGCTTAGGAATTGTTTGTGTTATTGCTGTCCACCCAAAAATGCTATTATCTTTACAAAAAGAAAGAATAGAAGATTTTAAACAAAAAGTGTGCTCCCTGTAATTATTAACAAGATCTCCTAAGATTAAGATAGTCAAGAAACTAGATATACCCATGTCAAATTTTAAGGAGGAATCATCTATATAAATAGGAGCCCACCAGGCCTAACACACAGGCAGGAGAGATGAGCCCAGGAGGAAGTTGGCTTGGAGTTGCCCAGGATTGCATTGTAAATCAGCCATCACTAAAGAACACACCAACAATTCCCCTGGATGGAGCAAATACACAGATGTATGCATGACAGCCAGTTGCTTCCACTCTTTTATAGAAATCAAATCATCATTCAACAAGTAGAGAGCTTAATTTTTCAGTGATAGACATTTTATTCACCAATTTTTATTATATTCAATAAACCCGTTGTTAGAGTTATCATCAGTATTGAACATTTTATTGAAGTTCTTATTCCAGCCCTGATTCCCAATATCATCTTTGGGCACAAAGACAAAAGTTACCACGGCCAAAGACAGGAATTACATCATCGTCTCTGTGGTACACAACACACATAGATTGACCTATGCTACACTTCGCCATCAATCACAATATTGTAATGATTTTAGGAAATCTGAATCAACCCTATTGAGACAATATGCCATCTCCACCCAAGGAGAGAAAAGAAAGCTAAATGACCTTAAGATCACTATTACTCAACAAAGCAAGTGGAGTTAGCGACATCCTTATTATGTGTCCCAGAAACTTCAGCTTCCTTTTCCTGATGTTAAGTATAAGCCTCCTCCTTGTTTGCATCCTCTCTAAGACTTCATCATTGCTCACACGCTCGGTCCATGATATCCTTAGCATCCTTCTGTAGAACCACATCTCCGTTGCCTCAAGTTTCATTTGCTACCGTAAAGAATGGGACATGTCATATAACAGCTCAGTATTCTTTTCTTTGTTACCAAAGAAATCCTCCCATCTCACAATATTCTGCCCAGCTTTTGGAATGTGTCTACGAATCTCAGTGTCGCACTTACCGTCCTCTATCAACAAACTTCCCAGATATCTAAATTTTTGCATCTGCTTGATTCTAGTGTACCCCACCTGTAAATCGCATTTCAGTCTCATCCTCTTACTGATGACCATGCAATAGCAATAAGCTTAAAATGAAGTTATTAATATGCATTAAGTTTAATAATGGCTAGCTCATTCTCTCACTCCAGAAAGTATCTGACTCCTACCATGCTTTATCTTGACAAGAGTCAGATTAAAAATGGACTATTGGAGCCATATCTAGGCTGAAGTTGCTCAATCTTCATTTTTCTTGGTTTAAAACTCATCCTTCCATAATTCCTCAAACATATGATGCAGTTTTATAAATCAGGCACTCATCTAAAAACAATGTATTATAATAAAAATATTTCAAATCAGAGTGTTAGATGATACAAGAAGGGTGAAACAATTGACAAAAATGTTTTACTAAAAATAACAAATAATAATCTAAAAATTTGGGGAACAAGGAATATATTTAATCTTAGAACTTTGGACAATATAGGAATACTAAAAATATATTTAATCTTAGAACTTTCAACAATATAGGAAGACTAAAAAATATTTTCCAAAAATATTGTCATAAAAAGGAAGGAAGGAGAAGAAACTGAAGACACCAGTCAAAAATATGTGCCTGTCTATATTTCTGAGATGAGGTATTATTTACATTATTTACAATATTTGAACTATTGTCTTCATCTTTGTTGCCATATTTAGTACGTTTCGGCTGTTGAATGCTCCGGCCTTCTTCAGGTGGTTGGAATGTCAAACTGAACCCTTTATTTCTCTCACTGGGGTAAACTGTTCTAGTTCCACGTGCCATGTTTAATGGATGTCAGTTATCAGTTATCTCCTGTTAATTTCCCTCTGAAAGTTCTCCACTGCCTTAACTGGGTATTGAACTCACACTCTTTGGGTCCTGGATCTAACTAATGCCTTTATTCACTGTACCATATGTCCTTGAGTGAAATAAATGGTTCATTTTGACATTCCAACCACCTGAAGAAGGCCAGAGCGTACAACAGCTGAAACGTTGTAATAAATATGGCCACAAAGATGAGGACAATAGTCCAAATAATGTAAATAATGTACAAAAATATGTGATGGCCAAAAAGGAAATAACAGTGACATTATTGTTGACAAATAGTAGCTGAAATGCACCTCCTTAAGTGCTTGTGGGTTCTGTCTTTGTTGATCAAGTTTTTCTTTATTTATTCGTTCCATAGCTTTATCAGTGGGGACAAAAAGTGTCAGCTGTGCTTCATTTTTCAGCTCATCACGTGCCTCACTATGCCGTACGAGATCATAGAACTGTCTGGAAAAAGAAAAAAAAGATTACTTTTAGAAAAAAGATATTTCTCTATGTCATGTTGTTTTATCATTTCATTAATTTCCAAATTTAATAAATGATTTGGCTGATACTTGTGAATGTAGTATAAGTGTAAAACATACAATGGAAGGTGCCATCTCTCAGTCTTTCATCAACCAAACAAATCACATCATGTCATGTCTCAATTCTCATTCAGGTACACAAAAAACTAGGAAAGGACCAATGTACATTCACATGAGTAACACAAGGTGAGATAACCCCATGGCAAGAAATGAAAAACATAAATCCTATTTCCCATATATTTAGTTGCTTATTAATAGATTCACTTGAACAGTTTGGGTGAGTAATTGACACTTGAGACAATTTCTATTTCTGTCATAGATTAACAGATAAACCAAGTACTCTCACTCCTGCTCATCCACAGATGGCTGGAAACCACTCTCTAATGGGTAGCATTTGAACTACTTTTGATTCTAATTGTGACTGCCTATATCAGCTGCAAATGGAACATTCTAACTTCCTGCCAAGTGGCACTTATTCCCAAAAGTATTCTTTTGCTCATCTATTTATTCCCTTTTGGTCAATGGGTGACTGCTTTGAAGATTCTACTTCATAGATTTTACTGCTAGTCATAAAAATACCACCATGCTTTGAAAACAAATAGAAAACAGTTTACTATCAACTTATATATGGATGTCCTGTAGGGAACTAAAGTTGTCATATATGAAAAAAAAAAATAAAAGCTCAAAAATTTAGGTGCATGATCTTGCTAAAGAGAGAAGAGACAGATACATAAGAATGATTTTTGTAGATTCAATAAATGTTACCCAAAGATTGACACATTTTATCAATAATAAAAAAAAAAAAATGCCCTCCTGAAAGTGTTCTAACCATTCCATAACACAAAATCATTATGCAGTCAGTGGAGGTATCACTTTTCAAACAGTTTCGGTAATCTTTTACAAATAAATTTTAGCTCAGTATTTTATGGTCAGCAGTTAAGAAAACCATGAAAGTTTTGAGACTGGAATCATTTAAACTAGTGATTTTCAAAGTGTGTGCTGCAGCTATCCAGGATACTTAACACTTTTAACAATCCCTGGCAGTCATAATTTAATGATAGGAAGTTATAACTAAGTAGTGAATTGAGACTCACTCTGTCCATCTAGTTATTGAATTTCACTGTTTCGACTCTAGATGGTATTTGATCAATAGACAATGTTTATATTTTGAATTGTTCTAAAACTGTCGAATACTCTCAATACATAATAGTTACATATCACTGCAGATCCTCTGCAGCCCAAATGAAGACAAATTCTAACGTAATAGCTAGATCAGAATTTAAATAAAAACAAGTTTATTTAATATAAGTTAATAATATAAACGTTGTGATTAATATAGCAACAAAGATGAGGATAATAGTCTGAACAATGTAAATAGTGTACATAATACCACATCTCAGAAATATAGACAGACATTTAAGTTAATAATATAAATCAACATTTTATTTAAATTAAGTATTTTTAAGTTATAGCTTTCTTTATAAAAGTGGAAACAACTATTTTTTTGTTCATATGCCAATATTTTGGTTCATATGGCAATATTTTGACAATTGATTGGATTGATGAACATCGCTCTTGGGGAATGTCCCTGATGGGACTAAAAGAAAAAAGCCATCTAGCTTGTATGATTCTGGGCAAAAACATAGGACTGATGTGGGAGATTTTTTTATGAACCAGTAACAAACTTTTACTCAACAATTTTAGTATTCTTTTGAATATTTACTATACTGGTAGGCAGCGGAAAATTTTTCCATGTAAAAGTGGGCGATGACACAAAAATAGTTGGGAACTCCTGTTCAAAAAATTATTTATGCTAAGACATATACTAACTTTCCCTTTACACGAGGATCATCAGGGTGGTCAAGATAAGGTACAGCCATTTTATTGCTTGTAATCTCCAAGACTCTGTCAATAATTTGAAGGATTCCATTTGTTGCATAAATGTCCCTCTTGACAATTCTGGCACCATTGATGAAAATTTGTTCAGTTTTGTCATAATCCTAAACAGAAAGAAAAACAATTCAAAGAAATTCATTATAAGTTTACAATTTTTTTATTTTAATTAATTTTTACACAAAGCATTTACACATTTAATACTAATTTTACACCATCTAATTAGTGTTACTTTTTGTTATAACACACTGGTCAGTATTTATTATGAAAAGAAAAAACAAAATATGTTCAAAAATATTCAAATAAAAATTTGATACAAAAAAAAAAAAAAAAACTTTATTCTCAGCAATATTTTATTTAAAAGATCTTTTTTTTTTAAAATAGAACATCTTTTTTAAAAAATTAAAAAAAAATTTTTTTTAAATAGAACATCAATAGAATTTATTTAAAAAGATCTTTTATTTTTTTAAATAGAACATCTTTCTTCAATATATTTCCAATAAAAGTTAATCACCAGTAACTTGGAAGGAAATGAGTGCCAAATATTGTTTTTAATCATTTCATTCCATGCCAGGCAGTAGATCCACTAAGAGGGACACTGAGTGTGAAAGAAAAAGAAAAAAGAGAAACAGTATTAAGGAGTGAGGACAATAGAAGAGTAATCATGAAGATAGTAGATAACAACTGAAATTGTATTTAAATTTTTGAAGATCAAACTTGGCTGGAAAGCAAGGAGTCAATAGAGAATTCCACAAGTGAAAGGTACAAGAAAAGAAACTGTCAGCATAAAATTTACAGTTATACTTTGCCAATTCAACTGTGAATTGAGTGGACCTTACTGCCAATCTAGTACTAGGCTTATATTCATAAAGTCTAGGTTTCATAGTGAAGAGTTCAGCCATGAAGAAAAGCACTATTTTTTGCATATTTATCTTCACTGTTCAACAATATCAATGTTTCCTTTTGGAGACATTCAAAAGAAGCTCAATTTCAACAAAAGCAACAGAACTTCCTTCAATTTTCTAAAAGATATTTCTAGATAAGTTCAAAGTTCAAAGACATGAAGAGTACAACAAATCCTTGCAGAAAATGATTTGTGTAAACCTTTATATATAATTTTCAATCCCCACTTCAAAATTGCAGTGAGTCTCCTTTGAAGTTTGAGAGATCTATTCTAAAATCTTTTCATTTTTGTACATAATTTGTGTGAATAGTAAATAAATTTTTCAACTTTACAAATCGAGCACATGGTCTTTCATCTCATCACTTCTTTCGCTTTTCTTGATATAGATAACCCCGTTTCTCATTTCAATTATTCAACTACCTAATTTTGGTATAACTACTTAATTTTCACTGTTCCGCTGGAGGAAAAAGTTAAATTTCTTGCTAAACAAAAATTTCTTAATAGGTTATCTAAATTTCCACATTTTGCAGAAATCTTCTAAATTTTCTAAAAATATCATTTTTATATAACTACTAAAGAAGTAACAGAAATATGGTTCTACAGGAGGATGATGAGAATACCATGGACAAAACATATGAGCAAAATAGTAAGAAAGAGGAAAATCTTGTTAGAAACAAAGAGTACTGAACTTATGTAATATCAGTCCTCCTATGTGGTAGTGAATGCTGGACAATCGCCTTGCAGATGAAGAAGAGACTTAAAGTAACAAAAGTGTAGCTCTACAGGAGGAGGATGAGAATACCATGGACTGAAGATATGAACAATGAAGTTTTAGAAAAAAACTGGAAATGAAGAGGACATTTATACTTAACTTCAGAAAGAGACAACTGAAATTTCTAGGGTACATAAGAGGACTTGGAATTTTTGAAGGCAAGAGGGACAGAGGAAAACAGTGCGTAACCTACTTAGTGAGCTTGAGTAAATGAATGGTATAACAGGGTTTAGAAGAGATAAGAAAAAGTCAAAATTTATTAAGAGCTACAAAGGACAGGAAATTGTGGAGAGCTACGATTGCCTATGCCTGAAGGGAAACAGCACATAGAAGAAAAAGAAGAAAGAAATAAAAAAGTAGCTTCTTACCTGAGGATCCTATCTTCCATTGATATTGAATTAACCATTTCAGTTATAGATTCATTCATTCATTTTTTTATGGCTTATCAATTCTTTGCAGGTTATTTAAAGCCAGAAAATATTTTTCGATTGTAAGAACCTTTTTAGATAATAATAGTTTAGTGATACAAGTCTTACTAATTAACACATAGATGGGGAAAGAGGAGGAGGATCCATACTTTCCCTAGAGATAAAATCATGTAGGTCATGTGGAAGCATGGCAGAGAAATGGTTAATGGCTCAGATTCAAGAACACCAGTCAAGTTCATTAGATTCACTTAAGTGCTACTAACCTTTGGAAAGGTATGAGCATCTCTCCTCAGCTATGGTTAAAATAGCAGAACAGACTTGGAGGGTAACCAGTTGAGGAGAAGGAAAGTCTGAATTCAAACCATCTGTTGCATTGTAGCTCCTAACTCTTCAGGAAAAGGCTAGAAGAAGGTAACTTAAAAAACATCACCTCTGAGAGGACGGACGAAGTAACCTCAATATCCCTGGTGCAAAAGGAACTGGGATGCCATTGCTCTATTCTGCCTTGAATGTCACCATGAACCACAATTGTGAGATAGAGGGGAGTGGTGACCATAGCATCATGAAATGTGCTAACTGAATAAAATGATGATGAGGCAGGTAACAGTCATTTTGATTTTTTTTTTTCAGCCAATTTGGACTCAAAAACCAGCACTGAAGAATTATCAAAAAAAATAAAAATTTCATCAAAACCAGATGAAAACTGTAGAAACACATATACAACATCTGATCACACACACACACTTTGAGCTTTAGATAACAATGAGAGTGATTAAAATGCAAAAACAAAACTTACAACACCAATCTGAAGACGTTTTTTGTTTACAAACAAAATGTTTTGGTTTAGCCCATTACTTTTCAGTCTAGAATTGTCTAGCATGTTCTCGGTCAAAATTCTCTCTTTGTAAACTGTGAACAGAAAAAGGAAAAAAAAAAACCATCACTAAATATGAAAATGAATGGGTATTGCTTGATAACCTGAAATTAAATATCATCACCTATACCAGAAATTATAATAATTTATTTAACCCAGCTCTGGGTTAAATAACAGTATAGATTGGGTCCTTTATCCTTGGATGGTGGCAAATTTAGGAAACAGAAAACGAAATTCAAAATGTTGGGTCTACACATGATATGTAGTGTGAGAAGAATTTTCCCTGCACCAAAACTTAGTTTGGCCATTTACTGCATCAAATGATACTCCTCCAGCTATTTGTCCATTTGGGCAGCAATCCCTCTTTCATACAAGTTTCATTAAAAACAACTTATATTTTAAGTAGAACAACTTGGAAACAAGCTATTTAAAAAAAGGTTATTTGACCTAAAATGTCAGCCATTTTTAATGAAACTTGGATTGCTCCCCAAATACACAACTATTAAATTACATGACCCAGCAGCCAAACAAGGGAAGTAACACAACAACATTCAGAAAAAACCTTGTTTTATGACAAATAACAACACCTAAAAATGAAATCTAACATTTAAGTAATGAAATCCAAAAACATAATGAGATACCAAAAAACACCTTGACTAACATGTCTCATATTGAAAACAAGGTATTTAAAATAAAGTTACTCATCCTAAAATGTCAGTTGTTTTTAACAAAACTTTTGTGTGTGTGTGTGTGTGTGTGTGTGTGTGTGTGTGTGTGTGTATTGGGCACATGTCCAAGTGGTTAGAACATTTGCTTTCTGACCATGAGACATGTTCAAATCTCACCATGGTCGATTTGTCAGGAAGGAAACTTCCTGATGTTATCAATCTGGAAGGGACAATCCCAGCATGGGGTAACTTTGGAAAGTACCTGAAAACCATACCACAGGTTGACCCAAGTCTTGTAAGAGAAATCTGGTAGACGTTACTCCTGGGGCCATCAATAACTGTGCTAGCACAAAGTCACAAGTCATTGTGATCAAGGCTTTGATCACGCTGGCCTTGTTCAGATGTGTTGATCATGTTAGATAACATGTTTCCCTAGAAACTGTAACTAAGGTCTCCTCGGCATAGTTGCAGTATAAATCACAGGTGGGCTCTCTGGATGTTGAGCAAACACAAATGTGCCTGAGCAAACATATACAATAGGGATTGGCTAGGTGCCCTAGGAGACGGATATCCTTGAATACAAGTGGCCAACCATATATATATATATATAAATAAAATATGAAAATTTCTTCGATCTAACCAGTAGAGAAGACAATATTTATGAATTTTATTCATATATTTTTCATTTATATATTCATTTATATTTTATTCATAAATATTGTCTTTTTCCTATATATATATATATATATATATATATATATATATATATATATTAGTTAAACCTAGAGAAATTAGACAAACCTACTAAGGTTTCACCTAAGTGGATCGTCAGGGAAAGCTGGCTCCACTTTATTTAGATATTTTGCTTATTCATATCGGGGTTTTTTTCTTTGAGTTTGCTTGCTAGACGATTACTTTCGGCTGACGTACATGTTCTTGGCTCTTTCTTTTTTATACCTTTTTTCCCTTTGGTATTGGTTTGATTATTTGCAAATCAAGACACTGAAGGTTTTCCGAATTAATATAATTTCTTATACTTATAAGAGTATTACTACTATTAATAATTAATATATATATATATATATATATATATATATATATATATATATATATACACACACACACACACATATAGCACCCTTATTTCAATCATCACACTTCAGATGATACATGTCCAAACTTTCTAATGTTGTCTGAAGTTATGAAGTGAAATATTTATTTGCTTCTCAATCAAATTAAAGACACAAACTCATGTTCAATGTGGGATGCTACACTTTTACATCTCTCGGCAAGGTTTGTTTTTTATTTACTATTCTTCCCACTTCCTGTTCTGCCATCCATTTACACAATCTCATTAGCTAAGGCTACTTGCTTTTTTTCTCTGTCTATCTTGCCTTCAGTATGTCATGTGAAGGTAAAATTCTACAAGCCTTCTTTTCTCATCATGTGTACAAAAAATTTCAACTGTTATTTTCTGATTTTAACTACAAATATCTTTTTTGTTCCCATTTTCATTAAAACTTCCTTGTTCTTCACATGTTCCATCTATAGTATTCTCAACATCCTTTTGTGGAACCACATTTCTGTTGTTTCAAGTCTTCATTGATGAGAAAATTGTATAGCACTCACTGTTATATAGGAAGACTGCTATTACATAGTAGTTCAACACTCTTTTCTTTGTTTCTAATGAAATTTTCATAATTTAAGATTATTTGTAAATACTTTGACAATTATTAATTATTACTTTAATAATTTGAGTTAATTTGAAATTACCTATAATGTAACATGAAGAGAAAATAATGACATAATGAAAACTTTCCACACTACCTTAAACAAAAAGTTAGGAAGGAAAATTCCATCAATACTAGAAAGAACAATAAACATTAGCGAACAAGACAAACCTATTTTCCTGAAAAACTATTTTATGAGAAAGATTTTATGAATTATAACTGAAAATAATGCTAACTCTTTGGTCAATGAATTTTGAATGTTTTCTTATAAAGAAACGGTTAATTTCACCATTATAAATAAAAGATAATATTTGTTACCTGTGTGGAATTTGACAAAATTTTCTGTTTCCTCTCTGTTCTTTTTCCGTATTGCAGTTTTTCTTTCACTTGGTAATATATCAAAGGCTGTATTATTGAAGGCAAATACAGTCATTTCTTCTGTGCTGGTAAAAGTACCCTGGATTTCAGCTTTTGTAATTAAATCCAGGAACTAAAAAACAGAATGCAATTAAGTTTATAAAATGTAGACGACAAGGTACTAAAAGAAAAAATGAGCAACAAATATTCAAAGATTAAATAATAAAATACTTTATTAATAAATACAAAACAGAAACAAAAAAAAAAAAACAAGGAAATTAATTTGTTAAACAAATTTCAAACAAATTTATTTATAGTGAAATTCATCATTTTTGAAATTTGATGTCTTTCATCAGAGCAGTGGTTTGTTTTTGAATCATGGACCTCTATAAGAACTAGCTCTTTTCATATATAAAAAGACAAAGAGATACTCACAATCTAATTAGTTTTTCAAAACACTTGTACATACATTTCTCCATATTGCACCCTCATGCAGACTGCAGACACTTCACTTTTCAGCCAGCCATGCTTGAATGAAATTGTGGTCAATTTATCCTGATCAGTATATATAAAGATAATCAAGCAGAGATAAGCTATGGAAAATGAGAATTGTCACTTGTTCTTATGAGTGGAAAAGAGATGGCGGCTATGCTATGAATGATCACACATATTTTAATGGTAAACATAGACCCAACAGCAAGTCAAGAGACACCTACAGGACAGTTCTGTCATTAGCACCTGGGTGTGTTTTCTTTCAAACAGTGGTGGGATACATTTTCTACTATTTCTATCAATGGGAAACTGTCAATTGAGACAAAGGCTATATAACAAATATAAAAGTTAATTCTTATCTAATCTTTACTGACCTCGAGGGTCCATGAATCCCAGATTATAAAGCCCTGCCTTAGAGCATCGAGACACAAGATTCTAATCTTATCAAAACAGTATCCAATAACTTAAGTAAAACTTGTAAACGTCATCCACAAGTAAAAACATTATTTTATATATCTTCTTATCATCAAGAAATATTTCTTTTATGCACCATACTGCTTCAGGATATGGCTCTCCATAACTTCCTGTTTCTTGTTACACTAAGTAATATGACTCTTTACTATTCCTCTTTGTTCCCACTCTGTTATTCATTCACCATTAGGTAAGTTACTTGCTGTTTCCCTCTATGTCGCCTTCCTTCAGTAGACCATGTGGGTGTTACATTTTCCAAACCTTCTTTCCTCATAATAATTTTCTCACCCAGAAACTTTAACAGTTTCTTTCTGAATTTAAACAATTGTTTAATATAAGTAAATCTTTCATAATTAACAATTATTTTAATGCCTTATTTGGATAGAATATATAAAAGAACATGACTGAACTATAAATTTCTTTCTATTGCAATGATACTATGATAAAAAGGAGATATGGCTGGTGGCAATAAATTTACCTAACCATCCGCAATACTATATATTACTATACCCATGATATAGTAAGACTTTATTGATGAGTAAAAACTGATAAGGACACATATTTGTTTAAGAGAAAGTTTTACATATTTACAAAACACGAATGCAACAATATTTTGTCCATGCAATGAGCCAAGTATATATGTTAAAAGAAGCAGAAAAGTGAACTAATGCCTTACTTGATATCTGACTTGGTCATATTTTGTGTCAGTGACGTAACCAGTGACAAACAACAGGAGGAAATAGAACACAGAAGTAGATATGATATCACTCAGATAGATTTGCTGCAGCTGGCAAGGTGACTTATATTTCACACCTATACTCAGACTTTGATGCATTTCTTACCTTTTGATATGTGCATAAATCATAGGGCAGATAACTTTTGTGATACGACAGAGGTAATCATGTAATCTAGATAACTTGTTCTTCTGACTATCTTGAAACACATTGAATGAAACTTTCTCCTGTAAATATTGTTGCGAGAAGTCTAATGGAGATTTTATTATGCATTAATCCAGCATAGACTTACCAGGCAAATAAAAAAATACAAAATGGTTCAAATTAGAAAAATAGGGGAGATAATCACTTCTACCTGATAGTAAATTTTTTTTTATTAGAACATATTCAATTTTTTTCAGATATCAACAATATTAAACAAATATTCTGTTTTCCTAATCAAATACTAATTTGTTTGTTTTTATTTATTTTATTAATTCACCCCAATCAAGGTGATAATGCCACTAAGACACAAGTGGTTACTCGAAGAAGGAGAAGAGTTTAAAAGAAAAAGGGAACAAGTGATAAACTTCTACTCCTGTTCAAAAATCCAGGGAGGAGTGTGAACTGAAGAATAGGCAAACCTATCTACTCCTATTGAGGAAAATGAATAGTAAATAAAATTTCAGAGTTTAGGCAGAGACATTAGAAGTATAGAGTAGAAGGAACCAGAAACCAAATCCTAAGCAGGAAACAAGGGATAACCTCTTTGCTGACAGCAAGATGGTCAAGTTTGAAATTTAAATACTACATTTATTAGAAAATATATTCAGTTTAAATACACAAGGCAATATAAAAATTACTTCAGAGGGTCCTAGATTTTGGTTTATGCTCTTTTCTTGTTATTCAGGGGTTGTTGCCAAATAAAAAAGGAAATTAGCTTTAACAACTCAAATGTCCATTTTAACTTTATTGAAATTGTGCCTGATGTACATTTGCATATGTATATTTTAATTTAATGGCAAACCTAAAAATATTTCTGCAAAATTAAAAACAAATTTTAAATAATTTTATCTATTACTAAATAATTTCACGAAAAGTTCAATAAAATCTTATAAATCATCTGAATTTCAGGGTTTAAAAATTATTTTTTTTCTCCAAATTCCTAACTTTATTGCTCAGCCAAAGGTAGAGGTTGTCTAGACTGTATGAGAGGAGAATGCATTATTGAAATGCCCTATTTTAAACTTAGTCAAATTGTATGTGTATGCACGTGTGCTTATGCATACATTAAATACCACAAGCACATGTAAGTCACTCCTGCACAACACAAACATACACATATGTGCATTCAAAGACCCACACTGACAATGTGAGATGGACATAGAATGAACTCTTTTATTATATAGATGAAGTGCCTATTTTTTCCCCCCAATATTAGAGCACGGTATGAGATAATGTAGTATCACTGAGTAGTGACTTCGATCCTCACTGGGATACTTGTGGCTTCTGGCCCAAACTCAGCTATGATTAGTAAACAAGTAACTGCCTGCAAATTTTATCACATTCATACATAAATTAATCGCGATTACTTCCCTTGAATATGTACTTTTGATTATCTCCCTTGAAAAAAACAAATCTATTTTAATGCGATTGCATGTAACAATATTTATGTAAGGATCTTTTGGAGATACACTGTTATTCGTTTATAAATGACAAAGAATAATCGTGAATAGTTTCGATAATCTCATTGTTATTCTGTTAGAAATTGGCTATAAAAAAAAACTGCAAGAATAATATTTAAATAATATAAATTCTTTGTTATGCTCTAAGCTTTATGAGTGAAAATAAATATAAAATTTTTCACATTTTTAATATGATTTTTTTTAATCATTTCACCCCAATTGATTGATTGATTGGTTCGTTTTCTATGGCTTATCAACTCTTTGAAGCAAGAAAATATTTTTAGATTCTAAGATTAATTTTTTTTTTTTTTTTTAGATAATAATGGTTTAGTGATACAAGTCTTACTAATTAATCCATAACTGGGGGGAGAAGAGATGGATTCATAACTTTCCCAAGAGTATTTGCACATAAGTGAATATAAAAAAAAACAACAAGAATTGGAACTCTGCTCTCTGATTAATAATTCTGAGCCGTTATTCATTATACCACTCTCACATCAAAGCTTACAGCCAAGTTGTCACCCATCTAGGTACTGACAAGGTTCAGCATTGCTTAACTTCAGTGACCGGTGTTTCAACATGATGTGGCCATAAGCATTTTACCCCCAAGCAAGGTGATAATCCCACTAAGATGCATGGGGTTACTAGGAACAAAAGAAAATGAGAAAACTTCATTGAGGAGAAAGTACAATAAAAGAATAGAATTCGGGAAGACAGGCAATTGATGTTGCATTTAAATTGTAGGTGGCAGGGAAGCAAAAAAACGCAGAGCAGAGTTCCACAGGCAAGAAGTGCAAGAAAAGAAATTACTAGAATAGAAAGATTGCTACATCTACCCATTTCAACTGTAAAATGAGGAAACCTAGTTCTATGAAATCTACACTTAAATTCATGCAGTTGAGGTACAAAGGAGGAAAGCTCATCCGAACAACTGCTATATAAATATATATAAAAAATACTGAGAGAAGCCACATCACAGTGCTGGGAAAGTGACCAAAGTTAAGATGTCATTTCAGGATTGATTATATTACAGAAACATCTTTGGATTTTTGTCAAGAATCTCAGGATATATAATAGAAGTGCCATAACAGATGTGACAGTGATATTTAGTATTAGTAGTAGTAGTTTGGCACCCACACACATCCGACCATCAGTATCATTATCCTCTCTCTTTATTTGCTTTCTTTCCTCTGTTGGTGGTGACGGAGATGGATGTGAAGGCCTGGCATACTCCAGAAGAGAAGCAGGAGTCACAGAGGAGTGTGGGTGGTGGAGGTAGCTCCCTGCAAGTCAACTCCCTGCAAGTCGCAGATCATCTTCATGTTGACGGATGAAAACAAAAGTCTCCAAAATAGTAGATTTAGAAAACTTATTTTTCTTGTAGACTCAGTCGTTATTCCTTTTTGTTTGTTTTTGCCAAATATTATCTTTTCAAAGTTATTCCAAGATGGTTGACAGAATAGCCTTGAGTAAACCTCTCTTGCACAAATAACTTACCTGTCCTTGCCTTAGCATCAAAATGCTGCCATGCTGATTGTCAAGCTTTACAGTGACCATTCATTTTATCAATGCCATACCAGAGTCTATAGAAGTTAAAAATGAATATGAATGCAGATCCCATAAGGGAAATGGAAATGAAAAAGACAGAATCAGAAATGGAAATGGAAACAAAAAAGACAATTAGAATCAGAAAGAGACAAAAATAAAATTTCTGGATAGGAAGTTGTGGAGAGCTATGAAAGGCCACATCCTGTAGAGACACAGCACATAAA